CGGTTTTGGTGGTCGGAAGTTGTCGAAAAATTGCCTCAAACTTGCCCAAAAAATCTGAAAATTCAGTGACCGTTTTGAAAGAAATTTCAAATTTCAGTGACCGTTTCTGAAATTTTGAAACTTCAGTGACCGTTTTGAAATTTTCAGATAACTTCAGTGACCATTTGTGAAATTAACTCTCATATATATATATATATATATATAGCAAATGGGGCAAGCCCCGCCCCACCTTACCTTAAACCTGGTAACAGGGAGGGAAATTACCCAGCAAGATAGGGGAGTTTCTCCAGATCTCGATTGGTCACATTAACATCCCTATTATATGGTATATTAATAAATTTTTATCCCTTTTAAACCTTTATCCTTAGCCTCGATTAGTGCCAAATAACGGTCACATCGTCCCAACGTCTACCGTTTGACCCTCGTCAAAAACGAGTCTTCCCATAATTACCATAATTTATTCCGATGGTCCTATTCATTCAGTTTGGTAAAAGAAACATAACTGAAATGGACATGCATGTGCCTCCATCATCCGACACCACTCTGTATTTTCTGGAATAATTGTACTGTCATCAATCATTAAAGCACATGCCACTTTTTTTACTATAAAATAAATTATCGAACAAAGATTATCTAAGAATTAACTGTCATTATCTATGAGTAATCCGTGTACACTAAACATTAATACAAATCAATGAATCAAATAAATAGAATTGATATTCTCTCACCGTGGACAAGATAAAAACTTTCGACTAGTGATGTGATAGAGAAAATCGTAGATATGATTCTCTAAATGTATGACTACTATAAAAATTCATAAGTACAATTCATTTACCAGTGAAATTTTTTTATACTATTTGTTGTGGGGCCCTTCTTTCTACAATGACAGCAGTGTCTCAACAACTAAGGATGTCCCACATAGGCCATGTGTAGAGAGAATGAATGGCAGCAATTTGAGCCAAGGGAATCAATAAAAGGTGTCGGTGAGGTGGTCGGTGAGGTGGTCCGTTTGATAAAACGTAAAGAAAAAGACGAAAAATTCTTCTTTTTATTATACACGAAAAATGGGGTAATTAATTGGAATTCTATTATGAATGCAGGTGGTGTTGGGATCCAATGGTGTTTTGCTCGAAAGCTTTGATTGTTGGGGCCAGTTTTTTCATGTTGTCATCGTAGACGTAGGGGAGTTTGTCGAACAGCGTCGTGGTCGTCTTGGCGATCGTAGGCAGCAACTTGCGGCAGAGCTCTTCGTGCACGGTGATAGAGTTATGGTAGTGGTAATACCGGATTTTCGTTTCGGTCTTGTGCAATGTACCACCTATTACGTTCTCGGACATGTGAACACCAGTCGAATAGGCATTCCTTGCTTGTATCGCGTACTTGCGATCTCGTCTAATCCTTGTCCTCGAGTCCCGGAATAGCAACTTCTCGAAACCCCATTGTCTGTTAAAATAACAGAGCAAGTACATTTTTTTCTATGTCAAAACACATTTAAGAACAAAAGTTTTGCTATACTGATCAACTCTATTCGTGTCCTATGTTATCTTTTTAGAATGTTCAAAAGGAAACTTGACAAATATATAAGAATTCTAACACGAGGGTACGAGATATCTTGCTCGCCGATCCAACTCACTGGCGGAGTTTAAAATATCGGTGAGATGGCAAGACCAAGTCTTACTACCTCACCGATGGGCAAGATATCTTCTGTACACTGTGGTAAGGAGATTGGTCACTTGAATTCTAATATACGAACCAAATCACTGTATGGAAATGTAATAACAAAAAAGTGTCGACATGAATGGGGAATGGGGATTGAATCAAGAATGGGTAATGAACCAAAGAATTAGAGGAAAATGATTACATACCTGGAATAGTTCTGAGTGGAATCATTCAAGCACAGCACACTGGACATGGCATTTTGCTCAATGGTGAATTGTGTAACATTGGAGAATTCTTCAAGCACTGATTGCAGAGTGTTCCCGTTAGGGAGATAAATGTATTCATCAACATCGAAAAAGAAAGTCCAATTTGCAGCAAAACGATGGCGGTGGAGGCAGTCATTCACCACCAGGAACTGGTTGTAATAGTACCCATCATACTCAGCTTGAGCTCTAATATCCTGCAAAGTCACCCGCCCAGCTCTTATCCACGGCTCCAGCGCCTCCCTCACCTCGGCCGACACTCCACCGGCGTCGTGGAACACGAAATGCGAACTGGGTCCGAAGAACCACGCGTGATAGGCCATCCATTCCCTTATTCTAACCGCATTCAAGTTCCCATACAAAGAAGACCCGCAGTATAAGTACTCATATTTATACGGTGGGCTGTACTGGGACTCGTTGTAAGACCCTGGTGCCTCTTCCATGGTGGTGAATTTCTCGTACTTTCGAGGCGATTCACCGTAGTAGGCGTAGAGAACCAGCTTGCCACCGCTATTGTCCAAGTTGGGGTTTGAAGCAAACGTGCAATTCACCACCACTACGGTGTATACACGGCCGTAGCCCCAGTCGGGGAGCATTTTATAGGCCTTAGCCTTAACCGAAGCGTTCCCGTTGTTTGGTATCCACTCACACTTGTACCACGGTTTGCCAAAAACATGTATAGGTTTCGAAGCCAAACCGACCACCGCAAAGGTCCGGGGGCCTCCGCGGTAGGCACCCATTTGTACAAAAAGTGCAGCAGCGTTGCCGTAAGCTTGAAATGTACGCTTGTTGGGATCAGCTGGCGGACTGCGATTCACGAGTTTCTGCTCCGCCAGCGTCGTCACTCCCATAACGCCACCGACATCGACACTTTCGGGCCTTATCGTCAAAGACTCATTGGTGCCGGAGGTTGTAGCTAAGCACCGATTAGTGGTGGAGATGAGGTTTTCGTAGTAAGGCTGAAGGTTCCAAATGACCATTACAAGAGTAAAAGCAAGTAATGTGGCCACCACTGGCTTGGTCTCAAAGCAGAGAAACATTTTTCCGACCGGGTGGCCTGAGAAGGCGGCTGTCGTTCCGTCTTTCCTCATAATTATCCGATGATGCGTCGCTATGGACCACTGTTTATTAGACCAACAGCTTTGTATGTCTGTGAGTGTGGCAGAGCAGTCGATTTGATTAAGAATTCAGGCACTTTATGTCTTCCTCTGCACTTTCCTTAGTAGGTTCCTTTAGCTTTACAACTATAACCTTGGATCCTCTCTTATTTACAAAACACCAATGTAATTATTTCATTTATTTACCCAACTACCTTACACCATACACGGATAAGATTACTTCAACACCTAAATGTCTATACTTTGATTGACACTTTTTATATGTCAAAAATAAAATCATTGAGTGAACAAAGGTTTTTTCAAAATTAACGTGTCCAAATCTATCAACATACAAGAGTGTAAATCAAAGTGTATATATAGTGTGACTAATATCAAATGATATATAGTCCAGTTTGGACTTCATTTTTGCAAAAATATAATTTTTCAAAATTCATTTTCAATTATACGTTTTTTATAAAATAATTTTATAAGTTACGTTAATAAAAAAAAATCTTATTTTTTAATGTCACATTCTCTAATAAATTATTATTTCAAAACATATTTTACTCAAAAATGGGGGTCAAACATGGGCACGATTCCCCGTGAAAGAAAAGGAAAAAAAACTAGTGTTGTATTACCAAATCTTAAATGAATTACTAATTTTTTTCATGTCCAACTGATTTACTATCTTTCATATTATTTTAAGAATACTGCCATTAGTAAAAAGTGTGAATGATTTTCATTTGATGTAGTAAGTAATGTGAAATTAAACGATGAAACCATTTAAACATGTGAATACGAGACTCACTTTGTTAATTTCATCATTCAATGTTATCTAATAAGTTGGATATTCCCGTTATTCAAATTAAGAAATCTAATATCGGGATCATCACCACTTTGTACGAATAAGTTGGATATTCCCCTTACTCCAATTAAGAAAAATTCAATATAATTGAAATTTTTGAAGGAATGTTGAGTTACTTGATTGATAATATTTTAGAATTCTAAAATTAGAAGACGTTAAGTTTAACTCCACTATTCTTGACATCAACGATAGACATTTTCCAGGGATAAATTACGACATTAAAAATCAGGTCGGTGATTTTCAAATGGACTAGCTTAACTATTGGGAATTGTCGACATATTAGCAACGAAATTTTTCATTTAATTTGGCGATGGTAATTTTGCATGGACTACCTTAACTGTCGATAATCCCCAATAAATTAGCAAAAAAATTTCCATTTTCAGTTGGCAAGGGTAATTTCGACGGACTACTTAACTATTTTATTGACACCCGATATAGCAGCAAATTTCTTCGTTTCTATTTGGCAATGGTTATATACATTGGTAATTGCAGGCAATATTATAAGTAAATACCGATGGATTTTAAAAGTTGATTTGGCAACTTTTTTTCGTTACTAAGGGTTTATTTGATTTGTATTTCAATTTTTAGTTTTGAGTTTATTTTTAATTTTCTATTTTAAGGGTTTATTTTTAGATTGCTAAAAATGTATTTGGTTCATCATTTTGAAAATCTGCTTGTCAAACATAAAATTAAAAATATATATTTGATTTAAAATTTTGAGAATTTTTTTTGAAATTTTTTTTCATGAAATTTGATTATTCATTAAAATAGAACAATTTTACATGAACATATTATTGATGATAAAAATCGAATCAACAAATCCTCTCACCTAACTATGATTTTCTCTTTTTAAACTCTCTGATTTTGATGATCAAACTTGGAGCAAGATGGAAAATAGTTATTTGAAGGGAAAATTAATGAATTGTATGATTTTCTTTTCAAATGATGGGGTATTTATAGATTTTCCTCCAAATTTTGGGGGTATTTTGGTCATTTAGGAACATTACAGATGGCGGCTACTTACTGCTAGCTCACAACCGGTTCTATTAAGAGTATCAAGTTTCTTTTACTTGCCCATGCACATTTTTTATTTATAACTTGTAGCCACTTCAATCGGAAAAAGGTTCGCTTACTTTATGCGAACCTTTCATGATTGCACTTCCTTCGCGTGTTGCTATATGCTTCCAAGTGGTGGAATAGGTTCGTGGTTCAACAAATAGTCCCCGAATTTCGATTTTACTATTCATATTAAAACTAGGACTTCTTGTACTTTTATGATTATGTAAACTTGTTTTTGTGCGTATCTTTCTATTGTTGATGACATGGGCCATATTGATAGACATGTTATGGTTGCCGCAGTTATTTGCGTGTGTTACAGGCCTTTTTGCATATTTTTGGTTAGTGGCCTACACGCATTTAACGTGTGTGTCAAATACGCGTTAGTCGTGTCCGTCCCATTTGAATTCTTAATCAGCCGCCCCTTAATATTAATGGCCATGATTGCCTAGATAATTTGGATGGCTGTGATTTGCTTAAGTGCTTAATCCGACGACTCTCATTCCTTTTGAGGATATGTATAGATACGTTATTTTTCTTTAGAGGTTTCTTTGTTACTTTTTATCTTAATTGTGTTAGACATCTCCTCTTTAGCGTTTCTATTTTTCTTCAGAAATTTTCTTCGCGTTCTACCTTCATTTAGCCTTCATGATTCTCTTTGTCTCCATGTCTTCTTAGAACGACTTTTAGAATATATCAAAAGACTCTAATGTTGAAATTTCTAAACTTAGGGATTGTTCACCTTGGTGCACCTTCTTCTTCTAAAGGATCTCAGCGTATTGAGAAGCAGCCTTATTCTGAAGCAAATCCATCTACTTTTGGGGCTAATCGACATTTCCTAATCAGGGGAATAGTTTCCCGTCCAAGGTCGATGAGGTTTGTTACTTTTAAAAGACTCGGACGAGAATGTTAGAGACAGGAAGGTCTTTAAGGTCTCAGAGATGTTTCCTTATATTATTGAGAATGACCTAATGAAATTCAAGTCACTTTGGTATCATTGCTTACTTAGAGCTGCTATGCCCTAGGAAATTCTAAACTGCGGATCGCCCTTACCATAATTGCATAGCTATCCATAAGCACTCGATGGATATGGGGTTCAGAATCTCTTTTCACCTTTTTATTGTATTATTTTTTCTTACTTTAATATAGTTCCTATGGGCATATATGATTGGATCATTTTTGCTATGGACTATTGCGAATATAGGGGAAGAGCTTTCTGCAGAAATTTTTCGCTCTATTTACCATCCTATAAAATCGGGCAACACAATGTACCCACAAAAGGGATATTATTATCTTGCCCTCGCTCTCCCAAAACGTGCCCAATGCTTATAATTACTCCAACTAAAATTCATAATTGGAAAGAGAGCTTTTTCTTTGCTCGCGGCAATTAGGGGTGCAACTTAATGACATTCACCCCAATGTGGTTTTGCTTGGCTTTATGGCGAATGCAGAAAGTGTTTTTTTCCTTTTGGTCATTATTTGCTTTTTATTTAAGAAATTGTCCTACTTAATTGTGCTTGAGCAAATAAAAAACCAGCCCACCTTCGCGGTCAAGCCCTAGTGAGCTATTTGTTTTGATAGCACCAGTAGGGCTATTACACTCCTCTAATCGTAGTTTTTTTTTTTTTTTGCCTCACCTCTGGATTTTAATACTTTACACGTAGATATGCATTTTTTTATGCCGATGCTTTGAGGTTTTCCGCCATTTTTCCATATAGTTTTTGTAGTGTATGTTCCTTTCTACTGACAGTAGCATTGGACAAGAGAAACTCTAGCCTAAAACATTGTGGGTACTTCTTCCCACTTTCTCTTAAGATTGATATCATTATTCGTTGAATCATTGCTAGATTCACATGTTTCGACATCTAAAGCTTTTATCCTTATCAGATCTGTTTCCATAAGGATATCCTAGCCACTACGGAGAATTTTGTGGTTCTCTTTGTTCAAATTCTCCAACATACGGTGCCAATATGTTGATGATAAAAACCAACAAATTCTCTTACCTAACTATGATTTTCTCCTCTTGAACTCACTGGTTTCGATGCTCAAACTTGAATGAAGAGGAAAATAACTATTTAAAATGAAAATATTTGAATTGCATAGTTTTCTCTTCAAATGAGGGGGCTCAAACTTAAAGGAATAAGGAAATAGTTATATGAGAGGGAAATATTTGAATTGCATGATTTTCTCTTCAAATGATGGGGTATTTATAGATTTTCCTCCAAGTTTGAGGTATTTCGATCATTTAGGACCATGAAAGATAGCGGCTCCTTATCGCCTAGCTTATAACTGATTCTGTTAAGAGTATCACGTTTGTTTTACTTGTCCAAGTGTATTTTTTATTAACAGTTTGTAGTCAGTTTGGATGGAGAAAATGTTCATTAACTTTATGCAAACCTTTCATGCTTGCTCTTCCCTCACCAGTTGCTATATGCTTCGCAAGCGGTGTAATAGGTTTGCGGATCCGTATTCCGTGGTTCAACACATTATCAAATAATATATGAAAATTTGTAAATTTTATAATATTTTTTCACTATAAAAATAAAATAAAAACAAAAATTAAATTGAGTTGGAGAACTGTGTAATGAATTTTTTTTTTATCTATGTTCATTTAAATATATTTTTTATAATTTTATTTTTATGTAAATAACCATTAAGAGCTTGACTATTTTTTGGATTTTATATTTTTGTTTTTTAAAATTTTTATAATTTTAAGTATTTAAAGGTTATTTACCATATTTTGAGTGTTTTCAAAGTCTTCACTAAAGATACTCAAAACATAAAAAATGCATTTTGAGTTTTATCTTATAAGTTTAACATTGTTTTCGAAAATACCAATTTGAAAATGGTGAACAAAATGCATTGTAAAATTTGCAAATTATCGACGAACTAGAAATGTCATTCTTAGATGTTATTCTGCTCGAGAATGGTGGTAACTCAAGTCGGAAATTAGCCCAATGCAAATCCCATAAGACTAGTTTGGGATTTGGAGCCAAATTCAAATGTCAATGTCAAGGTAATTAATCTTTAAAACCACAAATTTTCTCCCTTATTTCTGCTGTTTCTTCCTCCT